TGTAAGTCATAGTTGATAAATATGAACCATTATATATATTCCAAAATATTAAATTGAGAAATAAATACACATCTTATGATGAATCATACGCACATTATAATAAACTTGATAATAATTGAAACATCTCTGATACATGATTTGTTCACAATAATTAAGCTTGAATTAATGTATCCGAAGATTTAAGTCTTGAATTCTCTTAACGTATACTTTTAAATAATATTTAAATTAAATTATTTACTGCTTAATACTGATGAATTGTTTTCCAATAGAAATTAAAAGTTAACAAAATAAATTGCATGCAAAATGCATTGCAAAAAATAGATTTCGCAGCTAAAGACACTCGATGGAAACAACGCCGGCTGTGAGTTCGCGATCAAGACCACTAGGCGTCCACTTACCCACACGGTAACAATCAAAATTCAAACTTGATGTCAATAGAGTATCCATTTTGTATTGTGAGAGATATTTTGATTGACTGATTGTTTAATAACGTTGCACAGGAAACAATGTTAGGGAGATTGTCAAATCAATCAATCAATTTGTTTGGTTGTTTTTTTTCGTCGCATTAGAAGCAACGCGAGGGCTATTGGCGACGGACCTCGTATTTTGAACCTCAATCAAGTGATGAGGACGACACCTGAGATGGCACCTCTCCCTCCTAACTTCCAAATCACGTCAACGGGGGGACTTTGAACCTCTACAGACTCAACGAGCATTATCTCCAGCTACCCGGTGGGTCTTTCCACACTCCCCCCGGCTGCGAGACCGCGATCATGACCACTAGGCTATCGTGGTCACAAAGCAAATCAATCAAAATGATCGAGTTCACAAACAAGAGTATGGAGCCAAATAGTACCCCCTCTCTCCCCGAGAGATAAGCCTAAGAACTCGGAAATTTGATTTATATATCAAAAATACGTAGGTCTAGTACTACAAAGTATCTTAATCACATAAAGCAAAAAAATGGAGAATATATTCCAAACGCAAGATCACAATATAGGAAATCCTCACCATGATGAAAATACAGACATGTTAGGGAAAATAAGAAAAAGATATTTTAACGAGATTGTCCGAGAAAATACAGAAGATGTTACACAATAATAATTATATATATGGCATACAGTAATTATATCTATACAAGAGGTCTTCACTAAGGAGAACTGCATAACAATTGAACTCATTTCTAATAAAGATAATGTAGGGAAAGAGTTTCAACATTTAATATACAAAGTATAAGAGATTTATTACTGAGTTAATAAAAAAAAAACTTGTCTAAATATTAACCAGTCATCCAACTAGTAAAATCTTATCCTGTAAGCTCAAGTGATCAAACTCGCATACATAAAAAATGTATGTAAATCATTTAATCTCAAAAAGATATAAAGAAAAAAGAAACAAAAATTAGGGAAACAAGGATAATCAAAGCAAACAATTCCTCCACAGATAAAGACTATATATATATATATATATATATATATATATATATATATATATATATATATATAAACATAATTAAAAGAGCTATTGTTGACGGACCTCGTAAATTTGAATCTAGGTAAGTGATGAAGACGACACCTGATCTGGTTCCTCCCTTTCCAAACTTCCCCACGACGACAAAGAGAGGACTTGGAGCCTCAACAAATAAAATACGATCGTGATCGCGATCTCGCGGCTGGCGTTGCTTTCGTCGAGTCTTGTATTTGAGTCCTGCCGCAACTAAAGACTAGCCACGTAGTAGGACTGTTGCACGATAAATCTGATCGAAGACGCAAGTCCTCCCGATGGCGAGGAGTGAAAATTTGGAGAGTGGTGACGAGGACTCTACCTGAGCTGTCAGGGGGAGTCCTCGTCACTTGACCGAGGTTCAAAATGACGTCTTTGTGAACAAATTGCTTGATTATGTTTTCTTTTTATTTTCAGGATTATGTTTTATTCTTTTGTTCTTTGCTTCAACATGTTCCATTTTTTGTTACCCTTTTGTTGTAAAAAATTGTAAATTTTTTTTTCTTCTTTAGGCCTGTAAATGTTGAGTGCGGAGGGGCAGTTTGCAGATCTCAGCCGGTCCCCTTGGGCATTCTGCCCATAGCCCTCCTGTTGCTTCTTATTGCGACATTAATAAACGATCACACACACGTCAGATTTAACATGAAACAGCCTCTCGACGTGGCGAGTCTATGAACATCAGGACTCGGCAGGAACAATGCTTTCCGCTAGCTCTGGACCATTATTACTATACTGCTGGGTCATATGAAAAGAAGAATTTTAGTTTTAGTTTAGTTTTTATTAACGTCACACTAGAAACAACACAAGGGCTATTGGCAACGGACCTCGTAATTTTGAACTATGGTCAAGTGACGAGGACGACACCTGAGCTGGCACCCCCTCTCCTAACATCCACACCACACCAACGGGAGGACTTTGGGCCCCGACAGATTTAACGTGCATCAGCCCTGGCTACACGGCGGGTCTTTGGCGGCCAAGGATCGAACCCGCGACTGAACGAAAACCGCCGGCCACTAATCCGAAATCCTGACCACATGCCAAGAAGAGAGTTAAGTAACAAAAAGTAACAGTTAAAGGTTATGGCACAGGGCAAAATGTGGCTAGGGTGCACCAAACGTGTTTAAATTGTAGTTTAGAGGACGAAAAAAAGGAAGACAAAGAGATGAAAAATGTTTAACAAGATGGTTTGTCAAAAAGAGAGAAGGATGCTTAAGGTATCTTGGGGTTGCGTTACCAATGTTACCCGTAAAGATTTATTGTATATTTATTTAACGGCAGCAAGGAATACATGTATCTTATTTTTCAATTTAATTAATTTATCGTTTGCTTTAATTTTACTAACTGAAAATAATATTATTGTACACTTCAATATTTTATCACCTACTTTAATTTTAATAATTAATTTAATAATTGTTTTTAGTCGCAAGTAATTAATTGTTTTCTTAAAAATATTTTTGATATCAAAAGTTGGTATTTTAGAGGCTTTTTGATTGGAAAGTAAGTAGAAAATAGATGGTAGAATAAAAAATTCTAAAATATATATGTAGAAATAGTCATTTTAGTTATGTGATTTACGCATTTTACTTCATGTATTCTAAACTTACTCCATATATGTTTTATTTACTTTAATTTTCGCTTAAGAATCGTATCTATATCACTAATTAAACAAATAAATCAAGCTATAAATATTTTTTATTAATTAAGGTGGTTTTTTTTTTTTTTGCACGATTAAGAAATTTTTATAAGTCAATAGGACAACTCAATACATGTTAAGAATTTCTTTTCCGAATTTAAGTTATCTCAGAAATAAATTATAATGCGCATAAAATGTTACTAATATATTACATTTTATTGAAAATTTCACAGCTTTCAAATTTTTTTCCAATTTTATTAGTAATACGATTGCAAATATATAAAACATGTGTTCTAAATGTTTTCTAACAGAGATCAAAATCTTATAATTGAGAAGTTGTAGTAATTTTATTTTTAAATCAGCGCTAATATGCTAATATAGAGTAAAGGAAGCAAAATATTCGTTTAAAAACAATATCTTAAATTAGTTTTTCCATTACCATTCAACATAAAGAAAACTATTTCAGTAGAAATATGAGTTACGAAATTCTTACCACAACAAGAGTTATTTTTAGATATCAAGAATTATATAAAATGAACGTTTAATTTTTTTTTTTGCAATTTATTTACATAAATAATATGCAGCTACAAAGCTCATAGTTTCATATGTAACCATTCTAAATTATAATTGAAGAAATCTAAAAATCATATTCAATTATACTCCCACAAGGAAAAATTGTGGAATATATTTTAAATGACTAGTTGTCAGATGAAATTACTAAAAATAATACACTGATATTTGTTTATTTTCTTAAAATCGCCTAAAAACTCTTTCAGTGCAAACGTGAATTGAGAAATTGAACAAACTAGAGAAATACTTTTGGTCCTTTGTCAAGAAGGGAAACAACCGTTAGCCTATTTTCATTTGACTGACCGATAAAAAACTAAATTTAAATCTACAACTCCATTACACACCCACTAAGAAAATATACACAATTGATTTTAAATAACTAGGTGTCATTTACATTCATTTAAATTCGGAAAAAAAAACCAGAAGACATATTTATTTATTTTTTTCATCAAGGGAACCCAGGAAAAATTCTTCAGAATATTGACAGTGATTACAACCTTCTTCAGCACAAAGAAATGATAATAACGTGGCTATTTTAAAACCCTATTCAATCCAACCTGAAGTTGCCTGTTAAGCTGAGCTTATTTATGGAACGAACCCAACCTTTTCATTTAGAACGGCGCTGGGCCCTGTTAGAGTCCATTAAAATTATCTTCTTTGGAATCCCTCCTGTAGTTTTACTCTTGAGGAATAACTTTGCAGCCATTAAAGACAAAAGCGAGTTGCTCTTTTGAAAAATAGGTGGATTTGCATTGGCCACATTACGTGCTAAGGAAATGGAAATACTTTGGACGAAAATATCCGGTCGACTCGCATGTCTTGTCTTTCGTCCGAAAGTATAAATTAATTTCTATTCATATTAATATTCACACGCATTTCTTTTCTCTTTTCTTTCTTTTTTTTTTTTTTTTTTTTTGGACTTCGTAGGATACGAGTGTTTAGCGCTTGGACAGATTCTATCTCGAGTGTTATCACGAACTTTCGCCTCGGGTGAAAGTTACAGTAATAGAAAGATAAAAATGTATTTTCGTTTTGGAGCTTAAGTTGTTGTACTTTGCGCTTTAATAGAAGAACAATGACCTTAGATTCATTGTTATCCCCATGGAGGGTATTTGATAGCGAATTCTTAGAGATAAATTCAAAAATGTTTTTATTAATGTATGGCTAGTGATGACCTTAGAGAATTTGCAGAAAAAAATGACCTGTTTGTAGCCGGAAGGTTATTTTAAGGAATGATATTTTCAATTTTAGTAAAAATTATTACACAGTTAATTAGTACGTTTGGGATAGCCGCGTTAGCCTAGTGGTCATGGTTTCGGACTCGTGGATGGCAGTTTTCGGTGAGTCGCGAGTTCGATCCTTGGCAACTAAAGACCTACCGTGTAGCCGAAGCTGATGCACGTTAAATCTGTCGGGGCCCATAGTCCTCCCGAAGGCGAGGTGTGGAAGTCAGGAGAGGTGGGTGCCAGCTCAGGTGTCGTCCTCGTCACTTGACCGAGGTTCAAAATTGCGAGATCTGTCGTCAATAGCCCTCGTGTTGCTTCTAGTGCAACGTTAGTAAAAATCTCAACTCAACTGAAAGATGTTTCTCTGTAAGTACGTTTTATTTTATTTCATCTTTTGGCGGCCGGCAGCTTACGTCGAGTCGTGGGTTCATAAAGACCCGCCGTGTAGATGGGGCTGATGCGCGTTAAATCTGTCGAGACTCAACGTCCTCCTAAAAGCGTGGTGTGGAAGTCAGAAGAGGGGGTGCCAGCTTGGGTGTCGTCCTTGTCACTTGACTGAGATTCAGAATTACGAGGTCCGTCGCCAATAGCCATCCTGTTGCTTCTAGTGCTACGTTAATACAAACAAAACTGGTACGTTTGGGACCGCAACCGTCAGCGAGCGTCAATAAAGTTTTAAAAGGAACATCAGTGATGCATCATTCTAAATAAAATTTTAAGCGATTAAAATATGTATTTAATGAGTTTGTGCACGCTCTGAACCTTTGTAGATGATATACGAGTAAGTATCCGACGAAATATTTCTTCATTCTAGGAGCTTTACAAAAAATTGATTTCAAACTTTAACCATTAATTCATTTGAATATTCGTATATTAATGAAACATGCATCATAAAAGAAAAATTAACACGGTACAAAGACAGTCAAAACAAGTAATAACAAGCTATTCTAGTCACATATGCTGTTTTATTTTAGTGTATTTTTTTGTATTTCCTTTTTATATTTTGCCATTTCGAAAGCCAAATAGGCGCATTCATACAACTGGTAATCACAGACAGTTATAAGTCAATCAGATAAATTCCTTAATTTAGAAAAAAAAAATCCAAATTTGAGCAAACATTAGTAGTCAAAAACTTAAGAAAATTCAATTAAAATAATAATCTTCAATTAAGATAATAATCTTCTGCAAATGTATAATTAGTATTAAAAAGTTATAATTTTGTTATTTTTATCGAACTTTATTTTCTCACTAGAATTCATTTTTTTTTTAAATCTTCCATATTATGAGATCTTTATTTTCCTTTTTAATAAGTTTTCTTCATCTCACGATGTCACTTTAGGTCGATTGCAGTGAGTGAGTGAATGTAAACTTTATTGGCGCAAGAGCCAGATATGGCTCTGCTGCGCCAAACAAGATTTAACTGTGGTCTAGACGTGAACAAATTCAAAAAAAAAGACAAAAATTGGTCAATAAGAAGAAGGGTCGAAAATAGAGAAAGGTCCCTGGGATATTCTGGAGGGGCGTCACCCGTGTTTACCAAAGAGAGTAAACCCCATGGGAAAGAAAAAGATCACTAAGGTGCCTCGGGGTCATGATCCCCGTATCTATCTAAAGAAGGCAAATCCCTGAGGTCCCCAGATATAATCGCTAGGGGCAGATGCCCGGCTATATCCCCAGACGCTGGGTACCCTTTTTAGTCACCTCTTACGACTTGCATGAGCTAGAGTGGGACTATTCTGTCATTCCCAGTCACCACACGGATTCTGGGTCAATTGCAACTTTGTCTGGTTGAAATCTTTACAAGCTTTTTCTCTCATTTTAAAGCGCTTAATTGAACTGAAACTTTCTGTATAGGATTTTTTTGAATGACAACACGATAATTTAATTGTGATAAATAAAAATTAATTGATTAAGATTAATTATTTAAAGAATAAAATTTTACGCGAAGTTTCTCACGCCAAATCCGTCGTATAATAATTTATCGTTTGCTTTAATATTAATTACACGTAGCCGTAATAAAATTCAATTTAATAATTTATCGTTTGCTTTTATTTCAATTGCATGTAGCTTAATTGATTAACGCAATGCTTATTTAAGCGAAAACTTTTTACAAGTATTTATTTTAGATGATAAATTTAATAAGCGTCAAATAATAAAATAAATTATGAAAACTACTCATTGAATAAATTCAATTTGACTCAATGTTCCCTTTTGCTCTTAAAATTTAAGGTATAAAAAATAATGTTACGCAAAGTGTTAAATTCGAAAGAAAACCCATGCTCAAAAAACTCGTCCTTTTACCGGCGTTATTCTGATTTTGTTTTTGTTTTTGTGTAATCCGATATCTGTGACATTTTTGATAAAAACATCAAACTGATAAAAGCCTTAAGTTTATTAAAAACAATCCTGAATTTTGGTATTTCACACCTGATAAGCGCATCACACACCTGAAAATGAATACTTTGAACCTGAATGACGACACATAGTCGTTTTCCTTTGTAAACAACATAAGCATTTTCGGGTATGACACACAGATATAAATGAAAAATAACCTTACGTGTTACAATTATCAGTTTTTGAACTAAAAATGTTCCAAATTTTTAAGAATAGACAATGTGTAGCCAATCTTCTTCTAAAACTAGGTTTCATTCATAATCATTTGACCATGGTACAGAGATCAATATTCAAAAAACACCATTTCTATATTATTCCTACAAATCAAAATAAATTTTGGAAATCCAACAATAAAAACGTTATTTCTTATGGATCATTTAGAGATGTTATAAGTTTTATTATATTTCCAAAAACGTAATATTTAAAACTATTACTAAACTATTACTAACTATTATTTATACTATTTAAGAAAATTACTGAATTTTCAATAGATACGAGGATGGTTCAAAAAATACCTATAATCGTCGACAGAGGGCGTAGCTAAGAAAAGGTGTTACCATTGTGTGCTGCTAACTAATAAACAAATATGACATTGATTTATAGATTAGTTTTCTTTGCTGCCGCATCGTCAAACTGTGTCAATGTCGTTGAGACCTGAATTCATCATTTTACGCTGGAAATTAAAGAACAATAAAAACAATGGGATGTTTCCGATGAATGTGCTCCAAAGAAGGCGAAATCGGTCTCTCCGGTTGGAAAGGCTATGGCGATTATTTTATTTATTTATTTATTTGGTGGGGGGGAGACATCCTATTCGTAGATTTCTTAGGATAAGGAAAAACTATCAATGGAAGAAACTATAGTGATTTGCTCCATTCTCATTTCAAACTTGGACACGTCTTGAACGAAAGCTATAAACAAAATAATTCGACAAATTAAATAAACCAAAAATATTTGAACCAATATAGAGAACATTTATATCGTGCTCAAATGCCCTTAAGTAAATTTTGAAATTTATATTAAATAAATGTTTAGTTCTGTAGGATCCATAGGGATTAGGAGAGAAATCGAAATTAAAAAGTAAAGTGCGTGCATTCATTTAAAATTCCATAAATGATTTTAGTCTGTTCTATCAGTTGTATTTATTTCAGCGAGTTACTGTTCATCTCCCAAAGTTGTTTATGCATACTGGCATAACAACTTTTAATGGCATCCAAAACTTAAGCATAATTGTTAATTATGTGAATAATGAAGGTAATCAAAGTAACGACGATACACATGATACACAATTTTAAAAAATGGTCTTAAGTTTTTTTAAAAAATGGTTTAAAAATGGTTTGCGTTCTTTAAAACCATTAATAAATGGTTATTTATTAATGGTTTTAAAGAACGCAATAATAAATACTTTTATCATTAAAAAAAGAAAATGAAAAGAAACTTGGTATAATAGGAATTCACGCTTTAGTGAAAACAAATGAAATAAAAAGGTGATGCTACTGTTTAATAAGGTGAGTGGTCTCCTCTGGAAAATAGGCATACTGCTCACTGATTTCCAGAACTTGCTATAATATTGTGTATAAGATGAGGGCTCAAAGACTCTAAACATCCTGAAGCTTGGTGGGTGCAGTTGGATACTGCTATGGAATCTCTCACGCATATCCACACATGCTCTATAGGATTCAGACCAGGTGAGTGAGCTAGCCTCACCAAGGATATTTTCATATTCAAAGAAGTCGTCGATCTTGTCGCACGGTGACAAGCTATGTTACCATCCATAAATATGAAGTCAGGACCGACAGCACCTCGAAATAGGCGTACAAAATTCGGCATGCATTCATCTCTGTAACTTTTAGCAGTCAGAGACCCCGTTTCAAAGATATGGGGATCTATTTTCCCATCCAGCATGATGCTTCCCCACACTTTGACTCTCCTTGAAGGAATACAGTGTCTTTTCGTGATGTTTCCCGGTTGAAAACGAATTATACGCTCTCGCAGTAACATTAGCCGAATGAGAATCAGTGTTCAATCTAAAACGCGATTCATTACTGCAAATCACATTGTCCTCCTGACGGAACTCCACTACTGATGTTCCAAAATCCAGTTTAAACGAGTTCGTTTATGCGTAGATTTGAGGAGAACGCAAATTGTTGGTCCTATGGAACAGAGACCTACACGACTGAGTCTCTTGTAAAAATTTCGTACTTCTGTGGTGGTTATGAGCTCTGAACCCTGGAGCAACTGTGCCTCTGACGTTACGCACTTATTGCCAGTTTTCGATTTGGGCGAATAGTTGTAACTCTTTCCCAACCTGGTACTGGTTGTCGATTAACATTTCCCTTACTGTGAAACCTCTGTCACAATCTTGAGACGATACACTGAGGCACATTCAGTATTCCAAACACTTCGGTTTGGAATCGTCCGGATTGGAGGATTCCAACGCTTTTTTCTTTCGCAAACATGTCCAATTGTCGTCTTTGTGTGATTATTTATTCTATTTAATCATTGACAACGTTCCTTCGCACATGAATTGTACAAAACCTGCCTGAACTGTTTATGTAGAATGAGTTGGTTTATCCGTGTTCCAACTAGCGTATGTATTTTGCGTATAAAGACGTGGACTGAGATAAATACTAAGTTTGGATAAATGTTCAACGCTAAAATTTCACGTTCAACAGAGTATTCTCCACAAATTATTTCGAACAAATTCACCGTCATTTGTTCACATTTAGCGAATTATTTTTAACTTTTG